GAGCGAATTATTCATCTCAAATCTTTTTGATAAAATACAGCTAAACAAAACAGTATCTTCATTATATAATTAAATCAATAATCATGAAAATAATCTGAATTAACTCATTTATTTTTATTTTAAAAGATAATTATAAATATTCATATAAAATAAATAATAGACATTGAATAACATGAGATAAAGGTTCATGAAAAGCAGCAAGGGTGTGGGTGTGAGTGTGGGTGGGTGTGGGTGTGTGGGTGTGGGTGTGGGTGGGTGTGTGGGTGTGGGTGTGGGATGTGGGTGTCGGTGTGGGGCGTGGGTGTTGGTGTGGGTGGGTGTGGATGTGGGCGTGGGTGGGTGTATTCACTTCCACTATATCCATACCCACACCCACACCCCACCCACACCCACACCCACACCCAGACCCACACCCCACACACCCACCCACACCCCACACCCACACCCACACCCACACCCTCAATTGTTCGTCAATGTATTCATATATCAACCAGTGATGTATGTGCTGCAAGATTAATATCAAAATAACTTATTTCACATGAACGTACTTTACATGAGTATGCTCTTATTTCATCTACACAGCATGATTCAATTATTCGAGTATTTCATTTTATTGAAACGAATTCATTTTCAATTATTATTGTTGCATTGTAAGACATATAAAATTGATTTTCTTGTATTCTATTTATTTAACTAGAAAATCTTTTTATTAATATTGATTATAATCAAATAAAATATGTGATTTTGACGATTTAATATGTTGATCAAACATGAAATATGTTCGTCGTATGAGTGGAAATATTCCTATTCATTATACAACGAATGTCTGGTAAAATAAAATTAGAACAAGAACATTATTTTATTGTATTAAATATTAATTTTGTTTTCAAAGGTCGATCGGTGTTACTTTATGTATATTATTATCAGGTCTTTCACCATTTCTTGATGAACAAACATATGCAAATATCATAAATATTGATTTTGATTTTCATGAAAGTCAATTTTCTTATGCATTTCAATCAGTAAAAAAACTAATTCAAACAATTTTTGTTCGCGAACCAAAGTAGGATTTACATAGAGTAGAAATTTGTAAGCTCTCTCTTCACATAGGCACCTTAGCAATACGATGGTCGTTAGCTAGAATTCGGTCGGTTCAATCGTACTTTGATATTCTTAACGAGATCTTCCAATAGAAATGTGATAGCCATTTGTTAAATGAAATATTCAATCACAGATCGTGTATCAATAAGATATTGTTATAATATATGAACTACTTTGTAAAAATAAATTTTGTTTTTATGTTCCAGTGATCCCCCATCAACAAGTGAATATTTAATGAATGAGGAAAAGTTTTAAGTAAAAAATTTTAGTTAATTGATGAACTAATATGTGTATGTTGTGTGCAATTATTCTTCTCTATTATTATTACTATTATTATTGTTGTTGGTGTTGAATGAACAAGTTTTCTTAATCTTGATTATATTCAATATTGTAGATAAATCATGTTTATTAGTACTATGTTTCATGTTATTATTGCTAATTATGTTCAATCACAAACAGAATTTATTTTACCACCATTACCTTATGAGTATAATGCACTTGAACCACTTCTATCGGAACATTTAATGCAATTACATCATGATAAATATCAACAAACGCTAATGCTGCACTTAAATCTCAATTTGTTGATGAAACATCTAATGATCGATTAAAAAATTTAGCTAAACAAACAATGGAACTTATTCTTACTCTAGAAACGGATAATTTAGAATGGCTTGAAACCTGTTTAGTCAGAAGAAAAGAAATCATTAGAACAGCGTTTGTGAGAATGTAATATTGTTGATCAGATATGGTTTTCCAGTTATTCTTTTGGAGAGCGATTTATACTGGATTTTCTAGAGAATTTCACAGACTGTCTTTTGCAAAAAAAATTTAAGTCAAAGCATCAAAAGTGGAGAGAAATATTCACAAAGTACTAAGAAAGTCATGCTTCTAGGAAAAAAATGAAAAATAAATTTGATAAAATTTTTTCAATATTTTCATCAATGCAACACTTTTTTAGAGTTGATGCAAATTGAGCGCCATTCTCCTTGAATAAAAGTATATCGTCAATGACCATTCACTTTGAAATATGGCAAAGATAAGAAAAAAATAAAAATGGAATCGTTACTTATGAAATACCCTTTATACCTGAGAACATTCAAACAAAAAAAAAACAAATCTTTTGGTGTTGTTTGGAATACAAAAAATGAAAAACAAAAAAAGATGAATACTAACAGATTATTTCTTATTAAAAGATAATGAAAGTTTTATTGTAATGATTAACATTCCTATAAAACATTCTCATCTCTTCTAATTCTCTATGTGTATGTTGATAAAAAAGGAAGAATATTATTCAAGTACAGATGTAGTGATGATACAGTTCAACATTATAATGAAAATTAAAAAAAACGAAATTTACAAGAAGAAAGTTAGATTTTATGCTTTGATTTAATAAATCTTATTTTCGTTTTTTAGTATTTATAATCAATACAAACAAGTTAGTTGTCTAAAATCTAATGTTTATCATTTATTTAATTTCGATAGTTTTTTGAAGATTTAGTAAATGAAATAATTTATGATATATTTGAATATCTTGATATTTATGATGTTTGTGACGCATTCTACAATCTTAATAAACGCTTTAAAAAAAATGACTAATTCGTTCAAATTTCCTATTCAAATAAATATTTCAACTATGTCAAAAGACAAATTTTGAACATCATTATAAAAAGATTATTTAACCATATAAACATCAAATTAATATATTTTGTCTATCAAATCCATTTATTCTGGATATTGTTTTTTTTCACCACGACGTATATTATTTCAAAACTTTTTCAACTTGAAAGAGATTAATCCTTGATAATATTCATGCAAAATATATCTTAATACCATTGTCAATCATTCAATTCACTTACATCAGTTTTTACTCTTATCGATTGTGTACAAAATACAAATAATCTTTTTCTTTTTATATACTTCGTTTACTTAAAATTAAAATATTGCAAAGTAACATACAGATTCAAAGAATATCTCAAACTATTGTCTATTGAAGTAGTTTTCGATTTAATTCATTTAATAATTTATTATAGTATCTTTCATAATTCGATATGTTTTCTCAATCTTGATTCTATTGTTTTCAAACAACGATTTGAAAAATCAATAAAAACATTTCTTTTGTGCTATTGAAATTTGATGTCTTATAAAAAAATTTGATGAAGCCTATTTAAATGCAAAATAATCGGAAAAAATTAATATGATCTTCTATGCTAAATTGGCGTACTTTCCATATAAACCATAAAGATTCTGCACCAACATATTATGACAATCAACTTAATTCTTTATTTTGATTGAAAAACAATTGTTTTTTTTTTACACATTAACATAATTGGCAAGATAGATTAGATAATGGAATTTTTCATTCAACTAATCCATATCAATAAAAAAGATATATTAACTTATTTTTTCTCATCTTTAGAAGAAAAGGTTATAGATTTTATTGAGAAGAAACGAATTTAAATTTGCTCAAACATATTTATATTTGTAATAAACAAGCAACATATAATTGTGTCTATGATTTTCCAAATGCTACTGAATTAACTATTAAACATTATTTTAAAACATCTGGTCATTCAATTCGAAAAACTCTTAATGGCATTCTTTCTTTAAAAACAATTTACTAAATTAGTTATTCAATATTATCATTTTCCATATGAATAAATAGTTAAATTATTACGCTTTACATCTAACTTATATACATTAAACTTACATTTATTATCGTTCAATAAAATAAATTTAAAGTTAATTCAACAAACTGAAATTTTTCAATATGTATCAAAAAGAAATAAAATAAAAATTTGAGAACTTTGTGATTGTTGTACATTAGAACTAATCATCAAACATATGATTTATTCTTTTTATGTATTTCAGAAATACGTAAAATATGTTTAAAAGAATTAAATGAAATTACTTGATGATTATTTTATTAAATAATAGTGATTTCTATTCATGGTGCTACTTATTTTGTTAGTTTATATAACCTTTAAGGATGAATATCGTTCAAAAAATCTATTGTATAAAACAGTGTTTGCACCATAATTTATAGAATTTAAATAAAACAAAGATAATTTATTGAAAGTACCTAATTACTATGATCATATTATTTTAAAATGATTTGTTTTACGAAGATAGGTATAATCTCAATTAGTTGAAACTCAATTAATAGACGATTAAAATCATCTCAAAACATCTGAAATCATTTGAAAAATCAGTTATAATCAATGGACTTATACAATTAATACGATTTTCTGATGTGAATACTCAATATGGTTTTCATGTTCATTCTTTGGCACATGATTTAATAAAATATCTCTATACTATGCAGTTATAGTTGTGTAGAAAACTAAATTGAGGTTATCAGGTAAAGTCCAATGATGTAGTCAAATATAAATGATTTGTTTAAATGTATAAATATAAACATTCTGCCGGAAGACTTTTAAATTCGCCGAACATCTCTATAGAATCACTACTTATTTAGAGTCAGATTTTTAAGTCGTAATAGTTTTTTTTGATACGCAAATGATTATTTTTGTAGACATAACGAAGACTTTAGACAACTATTACACTACTTTCATTGTATTTCACATTCGAATCCTGTATTGATTTCATTGAAAACTTTTTCTATATATGTTTATACAAAATATAAGAAATAGCATCGTGTTGTTTGGTACAACAACGAGCGTTATGAGAAATACGACAGTTAAATACATGGATGTTATTAGAAAAAGAACTTCACAAAACAGTTTAAATCGATTGTTGATTGTTTGCCAAATAGACAACGAGAGAAAACAAATTTTATGTCGAAGACATGAAAATATTTTGAACTATTCTAAATAGAACCATGTTTTTCGTTTGTCTTCGCATTCTTGCTCCTTGCTATGTCAGCGTTCATTGTTTAAGAACTGACTAAGAGAACAATACACGTCCGATGTTTGTATAGCGATGCCAATGAAAGGTTATATATATATGATGATACTTTTATGCACAGCATTTTCTTTTACGAAACGAACAACAATTGACAGATAGAATGGATCAATTGCCATGCGAGTTATTACATCACATTTTTTGGTATATTGATCAATCATTAGATCTTTTTCGAATATCTTGTGTCTGTAGTCATTGGCGATCTTTGATTATGAACAACGAATATTTTCTAAATCAATGGTTTTCTCGATCATTAGAACGTTCACGACAAACAGTTCGTCATATTTATCCTCACAACATCAACCAATCTAAACAAAAGTCGATGTTAAACATCGATCAATCATTACTTCCTATCAATCTTCGATCAAGTGAATGTTGGCTCCTGTCTTCAACTGTTTTAAAACCTTCATCTGATTATGAACATCTTCTTGGTCATTTTTACTCTTTGCCACTCTTTCAGTCATCTCATTCTTTCTCCTTCTGGCTCTTCTTACCTTATCAATGTAACTTAGTTATACGAGTCTCAAATCATAATGTCAACGGTCAAAGCACCTATCTTCATGGTAATAAAAACTATTATTTCGACCAGGGTTCCCGATTGTTTTGAAAAGTGGGAGGGGCTAAAAATTCGGCAGAAAGTCTAAAAATTTTGGCAGAAAGTGTCTCAGTTGCCTTTCCGGCAGAAATTGAACAACAAATGCTAATTTGATCGACTTTCTGCAAGATTTTGTTGACAGAAAGTATTGTCCTTCGACTTTCTGCCAGAAAAATGGTGATTAGTGCTTAAAAACTGAGTTTCTGCCAGATATTACTACCAAATTTTCAAAAAAATTGGCAGAAAGTATAAGAAATTTTCGCAGAAAGTCGGACAGTTTTTCAAGTTTGGGGGGGGCTAGACCCCCCAGCCCCCCCCTAATCGGGAAGCCTGATTTCGACAATGGGAACTGCATATCAATTAATGATCGATGGATTCATATTGTTTGGACCAAAATCCATTCACAATCCAATTATCGAATATGGATCGATGGACAATATGTTTCAAAATTCAATCAATATGATATATTCTTCTATGAGATGCAGCAAAGCTCTTGTCCGTATAATATTCTACTATTTAGCAAGCTTGACAATGATTCATCAGGGCCACCTAGCAAAGTTCGTATAGCCGATTTTAATGCTTTCAAACGATGTTTGACACTTCTCGAAATTCAAGCTATTCATCAACAGCAAACATCAATCAAACAAGTCAAAGTCGGTACCTATATCCACAGTAATAAAATACACAACATCAAAGTCGACTAATGTTGCAAATTCAACTTTTCTTTATATAAATTCATTTTCTTCTTGTTTCATGTGTTTCTGACATTGTTGATTGGTTATTTTGTTCTACTCATAGATAAAAAGATAGTTAAATTATACGACAAATTGTATTCATTCAATGTCTATTTTAGGTCCATTTTATCGGAAACCTAATCTAGTGGATCAAATGTTATCGAAGGAAAGTGAAAATATCAAGATAAATACAAGACAATGACTTTCAAAGCCGAATTCTCTGAATTGTTTAATGAAACGAGCATCTGCACGATGAGATGGATATTCATTTTGCCAATTGATATCTGTAACAATACGAAATGTATCTTGATTGCTTAAACGTTGTCCAAAAGGTGATGAGAAGAAATGAAATAGTACT